ACTAAAATCATGTCGATGTAACATATGGTCGAAGTAGCGTACTGTCTTGAGTAAAATCATGTCGATGTAACATATGGTCGAAGTAGCGTACTGTCTTGAATAAAATCATGTCGATGTAACATATGGTCGGAGTAGCGTGTGTCGAAGTTCAATTTTAGAGTCCGTAATGATATGGCAGAATACTTTCAAACAAATTATAAGACATGTCTTTTCTATTTCTGGTTGTATACTCGATGCATGAAAAACATAGATACCTTTTAGACTCTCCATTAGCTCCTTGGACAAATTTTCATCCACATCATGAAATTCATATGGAAAATTGTGCTTCGACATTATTTCTTTTTTTTTAAATAATTTAAAATCACTTTCCAACAAACACAAGCTCACTGATTCACTCTTCGAGAAGAACTTAGAGGTGGGTGATAAAGAACGTCACGATGAAAAAATCGCGATGATCCGCCGCCAAACAGTATCACCGTGACTCGTTCCGAAGGAGCGACGTTCCAAAGTCACATAGGTGTTCCTCCGTTCCAATAGCTATCTCCGTCACTCACATCACGACATATGTATTTGATACAATGCGCGATCTCCGTTCCGTGGTGACTGAGCGCGCCATTCGTTGTAGTTCTCTTCAAATCGGGCCATTTCGGCGATGGGAGTGAATGAAATAGGATGACTTTCTTTGCTCACTTACAAGGGTCGTAGGTGCTTATTACTACTAGAAAGGGCGGATGAAAAAATCTGCAGCAGTTATTATAAACCTATGTAAGAACAAAGTAAAATATTTTTGTATATTTGTTTTATTGTAGGAAAAGTTGGTATTTTATATTTATGTATAATCTACTTTGTGTATTCTACTAGAAATATAGTTACATTACACTTTATTGCTATTTTTAACAATCCAAAGATTCGCATTAAATAAGTAACAAACAAAATTACATTAAATACAAAATCAACTTTTTGAATTGAATTGAAACTTATTACAAAGGGAGTAAAAACTTAAATCATTGTATAAAAAACAGCTATAAGTATTAGAAAGAAGCCGCTGGCTAAAACTGTATACCGTGATTAAGTTATAGGCGTGACAAAGTCACGGAAGTAACAGTCGTGACAACATCACGATGATTTATCACTGTGATTTTTTTGGAACCGGAACGACAGTCACGGCGATAGAAATATAACGCTAACAATGTATGGGGTTGACATAAGCGTACGAAATGTCACGTGATGTTTCGTAGTGGCGATTATACAGGGTGTAACAGCAAGGTGTAGTCATATTTGAAGGTCGGATTCAGTTAATGGTATGAAACTAGTTAGCAAAGTATTCAGTTAATGGTATGAAACTAGTTAGCAAAGTTGTTTTAGTACACACTACGTCATTTATGGAAATTTCGCCATGAACAGTTTCGATCAGCTGATGTCATTTAACGAAAATAAATAGTCACATCACATCTCTATTGAGTATCATAATACAACCAAATTACGTAACTTGAAAAACTTGTGAAATTCAGGCATGTTATTGTAAATTACAAAGTACTAAATCCATATTCTTATTGCTATGTTATAATTTACTAAATTTATTATTATTTTATTCATGTAATATGCGTGTGAACATTTAATGAAAAATAAATATTATCGATTACTTTGCCAAAATACACTACTTCATAATAAAACTATTATTTAAAACTTAGTACATAATAACGTAATATGGTTTTGTTAACTTCATATCTTCAATCATACAAAATACACAAATTTCCATTTAATATCCATTAATAAAACTAATGTCCTCTAAAAAACACATATTTAAAGTTATCTCTGTTTCTTTTTACCATATCATATGTAATAATACGCATTCATCTATTGTATTTTAATGAATGAAATTTGTCTCTTTCTATCCGTCGGTACTGTTCTAACGCATGGCGGCTAGCGAATCAGTCGGTATGTTTCTTGTAACGCATGACGCAATATGACGCAATTGTCCGACTAATACTTCGCACCCTTACAATGAAAGCGACCCAAATCAAAATATTAAAAAATGAGTTTATATCGTAAAACCATCTTAAAAAAATATTTTGTTACATTAGTCACACTGTGGTGAAGATGAAATTGTGCAATTAAAGCTCGAATAGCACTGATTCATAAAGGTCCCTTTCATTTTGTTCTTTCAGTTTAAAAATTCTACTCCCGCGTCGAAATATTAATGCCGCATTTATTGTTGAATCTGCAATTGCAAAGACAACACGCTGCCACTGACGGATTAGCATTTGAGCCATTTTCGTTCCGAAAATCATATTCAAAATTCACTAGTAGCAGTAGAGCTCCTTGTGAGTTCGTCCAGGGTAGTACTGCCACTTTGCCGTGTTACAGTTTTGAAGGGTAAGGGTGCTGGTGAAATTACAGGCACATGGGACTTGTCAACTATGTCTCAGAGAGATGGACGCCGTAGCAGTAGCCTTCGAGCGGCAGTGCTACTGTTATGGACAGGCGTGACGCTTTCCACCGGGTACACGACTTGTTCGACCCGTCGCTTAATATTAAAAAAAAATATATTTTTTTAGTAACTTACTTTTTAAAGGGACTTACTTTTTTGTTTCGTGGACTTTCTTCTTTTTTAATTGTGAAACAGGGACCACAAAACAATATCAAGGGTTATGACATCTTGCTTAGCTGATGAACATTAAGACTTAATTCTTAATACGTTAAATGATAACAAAAAAATCGTTAAAAAAAAGACCTATTGGCGACTAGTTTTTGTAAATTATGTTTTTAAATTGTTGAACATTAAAATGATCAGAAACAATTTTCAGTTGTAAAGTTCCATTTTTCCTCATTATTTTCAAAGACTAATAAGGCCATCACCTTTAGTACTTCAAGAGTAGGTAATAAATAAAATAATATGAAAATATGAAAAAACTTGAAATCTTATTTTCTTTTTTATTCCCAAAAAGTTGAAATTTTGTATTGGGACACTTTCATCGTAAAGGTGCAACCTGAAGGTCGGCAAACGTCAAGAAATTAGTTTTGATCGTTGACCACGAATTAATTGTTGTAATTTTCATCACTTGCTTGGAAATGAAAATATCGTGAGAAAACTTGGATTTCGGAGATAATTGCCGAAATCTTCAAAGATGCGAGAATGTCAAGTCTCCAACCAGAACTTACTATGCAAGTGTAGTGGACTAAACCTTGTGCAAAAAATAGTACTTTACTAACTTACATACGTCTATTGCTGAGCACACGTTTCTAACAACAGGCTTACGCTTAATTTGACTTATCTACACACGACAACTTTCTGTGTATGGGTTTGTTACATGGTGAAATTGAAATAATTAATATCCGTTGAACCTATTAAGGTTCTTACTTCCTAATAATATCTACTCATCTAAAGAAATATTTTAGAATAGTTTAAATTAGCAATAGTGTAAAACCATAAAAAATCTTACCTAAATAAACAAAGTATCAAGATTAGTCGCCTTGCGTACGCGATACGTAATAGTAGCGAAGTCGCAAGCCTTTGGCGGCAACTTTAGCGGCAAAAATATCACCTTTGATTTTCGCCGCCAGCATTTGATTTTATACATCGTGATGTGGAGTAGTGGTTAATGTTAGACTGTGGTGGTAGTGGATTTGATTCCCATAGTCGACTGCCTCTATGGTGTAGTGGTTAGAGTGTTAGGCTTTCGTTTCGGCAGTTGTGGATTTGATTACCATAGTCGACTGCCTCCATGGTGTAGTGGTTAGTGTGTTAGGCTTTCGTTTCGGACGTCGTCGTGGGTTTCCGATGGGTGACTGCCTCCTTAGTGCAGTATATCCGTAATCACCCAGTCAGTTCTTGCGTTGTGTGGAAGTGGTACGGGTGATGGTCAGAGCTTGTTTACAAACAAAGGCGTATGCAGTGCAACGTTGAAGGTCGTAGATACGTAGGATATAGGTATTCGTTTAATGTGTATGTAATGATGTAATTTGTATCATGAGAAGGGTCTTATTTTAAAAGGATGGTAATAATTTTAATTTCATCCTGTAGGTACATTATGAAAACGTTACCCTATATTCCAAAATTTGCGTTTCAGTCGGCGTCCTTTGATGTGCCGCCGCTGAGGCAGAGACGCTATTTTTTAATTTTTTGTAACAGTCTGTAATTGCCGTTTGCGTTGTGAGGACTAAATAGGTGTCATCGTTTTGTTTGTGTCTCGTTTTTGTGTTTATTTAAACTATGTCACGCTTAAGCAATAGTGATTACTATGAGATGATGATGATGTTGTGCGTAGGCGCAGCCGATGGGAGCTTGCGCCAGACTCGCCAAATTTATTGGGCAAAGTTTATTGATGGCGTCCCAGAAAATCGACGTCGACCATTTCCTACTCTGGAATGCTTCAGGAAGATGGTTATGAGACTTCATAATAGTGGATCGTTCCGTGGTTCCAGTTCTGAAGGCCGGCCGAGTTCACGAGACCCAGAATTCGAGGCAGATGTTTTGGAACATTTTCTCGGCAATCCAAAGACAAGTACCTACTCGTCGTGCTGCGGCAGCCTTTGGTGGTGTGAACCATATGAGTGTGTGGCGTGTGCTACGGGATGATGGCCAGCACCCATACCATTTTCAAAGAACGCAGGAGCTGTTACAAGCGGACTATGATCTACGTTTGGCATTTTGCCGCTGGTACCGCGACCAGGTTGGGAGGTCTCCCGACTTCGCTTCGTCGGTACTGTGGACAGACGAGGCGTCATTTACGCGTGCTGGCATTATCAATATGCATAATGAACATTTTTGGACTCATTTAAATCCCCGCGTATCAAGGGAATCAAATTTTCAACACCAGTGGCCGATTAACGTGTGGGCTGGTATAATAGGTTGTGCCGTCATCGGTCCAGTGTTTTTGCCGGCAAGTCTGAATGGGGCCAATTATTTAAGATTCCTAACAGAAGACTTGGATGACGTTCTGATGGCTCTGCCAGTGACACAATACGTGAGACTCGTGATGGAACACAGGATGACTTTCCAGCACGATGGAGCACCCGCACATTTTGCTCGAAATGTACGTTCCCATCTGAACGACCGTTTCCCGCAGTGGATTGGGCGGGGAGGTCCTGTACCCTGGCCAGCGCGGTCCCCAGACTTGACACCGCTCGATTTTTTTTATGGGGTCATATAAAAATATTGTTTATGCGGAGTCCTGTGAAAGCGCAGAAGAAATGAGGCAGCGGATCGAAATGGCGTCTAGTCAAATCACTCTGCAGATGCTTCAAAGAGTAGAGCAGTCTCTGTACCGACGCACGGAAATATGCATATTGCATGGAGGTCGGCATTTTGAACCTTACCTGTAAATGTGTGA